GAGCGTGAACAAATTTTGAAGACTTTCTACGAAAAAAAATACAAAATCATCACGACCTATATAAGAGTCTTCAGAACGTTCATTGACTCTTCAAAGAAAAATAAAACAGGTAACAGAGCATAATTTGCGACACATGGTTACAAGAAATTTCATGATTCAAAAATTTTCATTTCCTACGCTTAAGAACTAATTGTTCATACTGAAGCAACTAAACTACCTTTTGTTGGAGAAATCAAAATAACAAAGCATAAGTGCGAAGTCGAATAGCTACCTGCTATTTAAAGTTTAGAGATAAAATCCCGTTGAGACTGCCCTTTCATCCTTCTATGGCTGACAATTCATCGGAGACTTCATTCAAATAGTGCATTTGCTGAATCGCATCCTTCCTTTTTAAACTTTGACAAAATTGAAACCATTTTTTATAAGAACCAACTGAGGTTAGCTAGTAAGCTGAATTTCGGACGCTGTTTTTCTTCAGCTAAGCCTCAGACTATTAACCAAAAATCAATACAGTTTAGATGACTGATTATCATCTATCAAAATGCTTCAAAGATAGCAAAGATTAAATTTTGGTTACATTTTCTCACTTCTTGGCGCAATTCTAGCAAAGTAGAGTAAAAACAACAGCAGCTCAATTACCGATTATAAGAGGACAAGGCTGTGCTATTTGACAAGCTCGAAAAATTGCACTGTTCAAGCCAAAGGCGGATGTAGGAATTTCTCGAAGAGGAAGGAGCGGATTTTCAGAAAAAAATCGAAATATTTGTCAACCTTTTTTTTATTGCAACCAAATTGATTTTCGAAGCTCTCCCAAATCTTTATGAAGAACCTATTTTGACCAAACTTTCAGCACCGCAGGCGAGTTTGTCAAAAAACAGGCCAAAGGGCGTTTATAGGCACTTTTTGGAAAATTTTGACCAAAAACTCGTTTTTTTTGGCGCGCCCTTCCATCGAAATAAGCATTTATTGGCGCCCCATGCACCTTTAGAAAAGTTTTAGGGTCGGACAGCCAAAGTTTGATGTCTAAAACAGTTTCAAAGGAGGCGACCCCCCCCCCCCCCCCTCAATCCACCCCTGGTTAAATCCTGACTACAATTAATGAGTCTTCACATTAATGAGTCTGGCTTTGGCCGCGCGTAACAGTACTAGCCCTTAAACTAGAGGCTGTAGGCTTTGGCTTTGATCAAAACACATCCCTTTGAAAACAACTATGTTGAGATTACGTAACTAACTCTCAAAACAGAGCAAAGCAGTACTAAACGACATATAAACAATACTAATTCATATCCCAGATACAATGCAATTCCAGGCCCAGTTTGCTTCGCAGTTGTGACCTGAAGTGTAAGTAGTCGTTACGAAAAACAGGTTATACTCTGATAAGTTAAATAACAATTAACCACTTAGGTACTTGGGTAGCACGTTCTTGGGTCGGAGTCTCGTCTGATAAATTTGTCTCCTTTCTTTTCAATTGTAAAAGTCTGATTTCTGTTAAATTCGGAAAATGTGGAGTGAGTCCAACTGAATGTTTCAAATGGGGGAGAAGTGGGATACGTCTAAGTCCTGGGCGTCATAGAAAACCTCTTCCTCGTCGTCCTCCTGGAATCGGAAGTGCAGCTTCAGTTTGCTCTTCACATTAATGAGTCTGGCTTTGGCCGCGCGTACCAGTACTAGACACATGAGACGAAACCAATGTAGATTAAGAAAGTCCATTCCCAGGAAACACATGCCGAATACCTGAGAAAAAAAAGCATGGTTATTAATGTATTTCTTTTCGACAGCTTCAATTTAAACTGACTGCAATTCTGAGCCGAACCCGGGCATCCGCTATTTTCACTATAACAAGAACCATGCATCATTAAGAAGCATAATGTTACAAGATTATGTAACCTAGAAATTAGTCTAGTCCAACCACATTTTTTTGCTTTATCAAAAATGGCCGCCGTCTAGTCCAACCGCTTTTATTTTCTTTGTCAAAAATGGTCGACCACTTTATTCGTAATGAATTGAATCAAAAATGAACTGTGGTAGATTAATATAACAAACAAAATTACGCTAAGCTAGATTAAAAACAGCAATAACATGACTATTTAAGTTCGTAATATAAATTTAAGCCATCTTTCCATAGGTTATCACAGTTTTATCTTCGAAATAAAGATTATGACAAAAAATTAGTCTTAATTTAATGGAATTATATGTTGGAGCGTTTTTCAATACAATATGATCACGTATGTCGTTCCAAAATGGTACAGCTCCCATCAAAAGATTTTTCAATAAATGTGGTTATATGTCCTTGAATGATGTTTTTTTTGCTCGTCGATGTTCAGTTAACTGCTAACTTTGGACATAACTTGGTAATAAGTTCTTTTCTAATCTTCCAGAAGAGACATGATAATTTCCAGTTTTAAAAAAATCAATTGAAAATATTTTTACTGGGTCTTTTAGTCAGGGGATGAATCATATTTAAGAAAATTACAGCAAGTTTTTACTGCCCAAATTAAACCCAAATTAAATGTTTCTTAGGTGATACTACTAGATAAATTGATATTGTATTTAGTAAGATAGCTGGCTCACATCACAACATTTTCATTCAACACAGAGGCGAAGCAGGCCTTCGCTAAAACGAAAGCGTAACATAACCTGTTTTCAAATAGTGAGTGAGTTGGAAATAAGAAAAAGTCAATCTCAGAAAAAGAGATTAGAAAAACAACCACTAGCAAAAAAAACAAGCTTTTAGCATTTTCCGAGCTTTCATCAAGCTAACAAAACGTGGTAAGACATCAATTGATCCGAACCCAAAAAATGGCAAACAAAATTGGTCATGAAAAAGCTAATCAACAATTTTTTTTGGAAATACGAAAAATTCAATCTCAGAAAAACAAACAAGAAACACAAACCTAGCTTTAAGCAAGTTTTTAGCATGTTCCAAGCGTTCATTAAGTCAAGAACACGTGGTTAGATGCCAATTGATCCAAAAACAAAAAACGTTGAAGGAAACCGTTGCTACAAAAAAATCAAGTTTTTTTTTGAAATACGAAAAAATGAGTCTCAGAAAAACAGACGAGAACCACAACAACTAGCATAAAGCAAGCTTTTAGTATTTTTACGGACTTTCTCTAAGCCTACAACATGTGATTAGACATCAATTGAGTCGAAATCAAAAAATACCAAAGGAAATTGTTGTCATAAAAAAAACCTGATCGCTTTAAAGAGTTTGAACGTACTTTTATACTATCAACCGACCTGGTTGGAGCAAAACAACTCGTGGTATGGCAGCTAAGCCGACGAAACATAAGTTAACAAACTGTAGAACGACTTATATAATTTTTTCAATGTTTCCCCGGAAAAAAAAATCGATGTCAGACACGGAAAAAAAACAAGTTCCGGGCAGGACTCGGTTGCCTTACCATTCTTTGTAAAGCCAACTTCATTACCTCTAGACCAAGTGCGCTGGGGAGTAGAATGTACGAAGGTTTAATAATAAAGCAGCATCAAATTCAATTACAGGTGTGTTAGCAAAGTTGTTTACGGGAAAAAAAGCTAGTTCCCGATTACAAGACATTTGCTCTCGCAAGTGTAATAAGATTAATTTCGTCTTTTTGGCAATGGGTTTTGATAGATTGCCATATCATGTGATTTTTTCTGGTAATTTTTACTTTTTTTCACTATTTTTCTGTAGCAGTATAAGTAGGTGCTCCATTTGTTTTATTTGAATAATCTCATCGAAAAAACTTAATGTTAACAAGGATAGCCGGATGCTGTGCAAGTATACTTAAGAAAAAATTATTGATTTTTGAAAATGAGCTTCGTTTTATTTTGTGCGTGTTACGATGAAAAGATCTGAACGAAATTCTAGGTTTTAGGCATTTCCAATGTTCGACAAAAATTTTCTTCGAAAAATGACTAGTAAAAAATATTTTTTTTGCAAATATTCGCAGTATCACTATTAATACTGCGAATCTCCTAAAAATAAGCCTGCTTGCTGGCTGGAATTCGGACAAAAAGTTTCGAACCAGTTTTTCTCGACACGGTGACCATGTTTTGAAATTTTTTTAGCGTCGCTCGAATTCCCACTGAAAGGCTTCTATATGATACATCACTCGACCGAGTCCGATAATTATTTATTGTACCTGATTTTTCGTGGAAAGCAAAAAGAAAAAAAAATTAAACACACATGAGTACAAACTTCCTCCCCCTTTTCAATGGGCGGAACAATTCAATTAAATAGGTTACATAATTCAACTGTCGGTAATTGTGTCTGCAACAAAGTGTCCCGAACCAGAGATATCTTATTGATTTTCTTCGACAATTGATAATTTTCCTGCCCAACTTAATGCGTTGTTTTTACTGCCCAATTTTTGAGCGTTGTATTTGGTACTGTCCAATTTTTGAGCGTTGTTTTACCTCGTTGTATTTAACAATTTATTGATTAGAAGTCATCTAATGGGTAATTTTTTGCTTTATCACTTCTAGTTTATCACAAGCTATGACACATTGCACTGCATCTTTATTGTTAATTATTATTGAGCAGAAATATTGTTTTAATTTAAGAAATGAAGGACTTGTTTGATGCATCAAAATCAGAGCTATCACTGATCATGTGATCAATTTAACTCATTGAATGAGTTGGAATGGTTTAATTTCAACCTCCATGTCCTGCGAAACAAAAGGTGATTCAAATAATCCTTTCAATTTTAATTTAAGAATTTAAACACTAATCACTTAAAAGAATTAGTCGTTTATTAAAAGTTTGAGCACAATCAAACTTCTAACAAATTTTTCAGGACAATTATCGTTAACTTGTTCGTAAGCCAAATTGATTAAGGTAGAAATTTGTTTGTTTCAACCTATACGTTTTCATAATTATCACTCATGTTATCTAGCGCAGGTTTCAATTTTGGATTTAGTTTTCTGTATATCAAAAACATCACGCATCCTCCTTCATACTGCTTAAATTTAAAAAAAGAGAGCGTTTTGTTCAATTTTTACACATCTACCATTTATTTTGCAACGAATGCAGCAAGATCAGGCTCTCGCAAATGAACCTCCCGGATGTCTGTACAAATTCTATTTGGATCCTTCGGTTTTGCAGTCAGGTGAAACGGAATGTGTCATCAAGTACTTGGCATCTCAGAAACTGATAATCGATGTTTGGAATGGAGATAGTTTAATGCATCTAGGATCATGCGCGGTTGATCTGAAGTATCTACTGAGACAAGGAAGACCAGCCACTCAGACGACCTTTGAGTATGAGGTATTGTCACAGGAGTTCGCATCCGAGTCTACTTCTATGATTGGAGATCTAGGAACCACGGGCAGCCTTATTAGACCAGTCAACAGTCAGAAATCGGTAAAATCAGGCCATCTACACATGAGATTAGTCAATATAGGTCACTCCAGGTCATCACAGGGATCATTGAGTCGTAGTTTGGGGTTTGAAAAATCACTGATGTACGCTAAAACGGGTTCTGTAGCCCGTGACTTAAGCGCAACGACTCTTAACAGGACTAAAAAGCAAGCTAACAGACTACCAGAGGTCGATCGAACGCTAAACACAATGCTTCTGAGCGAAAAAGAGAGTCTTCGATTAACGGGGGGAAAATTACCTGAAGACAGAGATCGAAAGCTCCTTCGAATGCGTCAAATGCGTTCGTCGCTTCTCGCTAACAGCACCGGCGGCACTCTGGACGCGACTAAAATGTCCAAAATGGAAAGTTTGACAATTCAGAGATTCGAACGAGAGGAAAAGCAGAAGGAATTAAAGCTGATCGAAGAGTACAGATCAGCTACTAAGCAAAACACAATACACAGTATGTTGTTGTCGGATATTACAACAGAACACTCTGTGTTTGCCAGTTTCGGAGTCGCCGAGCTGGTCGAATTTCAGTTCCGGAACCCATTTAATGAAGATACCTTTTTCTTCATTCATTGCGGCGACAACCGTTCAATTCGTCCGGTAACGAACACAAAAGAGCTCAGGTTACTGAAAGCTCTCAAAAATTCAACAACTCCCATTGCGGATATATTCATCGACGACTCAAACACAGATGAAAATACGACTTCTGATTTGGAATCTTCTGGAATCGTTAAAATATTCCTGAAACCCCACGAGTTAGTCTACATTCCATTCAAGTACACTAGCCTCTATGCCGATAGCTCGATGCCACTCGTGAGTCCTATCAGCTCATCCGATAAAGAGACACTTTTGGGAGACAACCAAAATCTGGAAACTAGCACAGTAAAGGTCCAGATAAAAGATCCAACGGAGAAGCCAGTCTCAATCCTCAATTTGAACGTAGTTCATCAGCCCATTCTGGTCGATCAAACGTTCCGATTTAGTCATCCAGAAAAGACTGTCGTTAAAAAGTCTATTCGGCTGCCTCCACTATCGGCCGGTCGAACTAACACTCACTTTTCGGGTAAACTAATTGCTCTGTGCAGCGACGTGAACACAATTTGCACTACTGGAGCACCTGGGACTGCAAGTGATCCTCAAGACGTTAATATAAAGACCCTTACGGGTCCTTCACCTTCGGTTAAAAAGTTCTACGTCTCAGTTTACGAAGGCGAATTCCGATTGGCGCCTACTCAAACATGGATGTTCGTCATCGAGTCGCTGAAAAGATGCGATGTTCAATGCGTCGCGGGTCAAGCTTCTCGGTTTTCACTCGTGATCAAGGGTTCGGGTGCCTCGAGACTCGTGAAGGTGTTTATTTCGGATCCAGCCGAAATGGAAGTGGACCCGTGCGAGCCTTTCATTCTCTCGTCTGTTAGTCTAGTCGAGTTAGAAATACTAGTTCGGCCGCTTAGACCTGGAAACAAGCATTTCTTCGTGAATGTAGTAGATATTGACTATCACCAGAAAATCCATTCGTGGTTGATAAATGCAAACTGTTCGTTGCCCCAAATCACCAAAGCGTTTGAGATCAAACTTCCAGTTAACGGGGGCAAAGGATCCGTGAAGAAAATACCTTTCACGAACAATTACCCTATCAGGAAAAAATTTCACCTCCATACAGATAGAAGCGATCTGTTGTATTTGGGCGAAAATTAGAAGGTTTTAGAATCCGGAGAGGAATGCATGCTTGGGTTGACATTTCTGCCCGTAGCTCAAAGAGGATCAACCGAAATTATCTTGTACGTAAACGACGATGATAATAACAACGAAGATACTTTCTGTATAAAAACCACCTACATGTGAATATCAAGTTCTTAAATCGCATTAAAAAATTGCGGCTTCACTCTTTTAGATAACCCTAATGCTATTAATTACACAAATTAATGTTTCAATTCTATTTTCTTTAGTAATACGGTTAATTTTGAACGAATCTAGGCTAAACTCAAATTTAGTTTATGAAAAATCCATATTTTAACCCAACCCCTCTAAATAATAATAAAAATAATAAATTGTTTCCAGTATAGGTTCACATTGATCAGTATGATTTATATAAATGACCACGTGAAAGAACCCAATCTGGGAGATCGTCATCAGACAAAATCTGCCTGTTTTCAGACATCTCTGAGCGCAAAAAAGAACAAGTTTTAATCGGCATGGTGGTGTAATACCACCGTTTTTTTGTTACAATAGTATAGAATGAAAACTTTTCAAGACTAGAAAAATGAGAAATTATTTAGTTAGAAGTAAAAAACAATAAATTTGAAAATTTTGATGAGAGAAAATCGATACTCATAGAAAAAGTAGAAAATTAAACTTATTAACTCTTTATTTCCTATTATTGTGGTCTCTAGAATCTTAACGAGGACATGGTCTCTAGAATCTTAACGCGGATTTTGCTAATCATTTCAAATAAATTCGGAAAAAGTTTACAAAGGCAGTTGTACAGTTTTCGAGTTAGTTCTAATAACAATTGAAAATTTATCGTTTTTTAGAGTTGGTCACTAATTTTTTTATTCGTTAATGATTATGATGTAAATTGAATAGTTCTTCACATGTGATAATTTCGCTGAGATTCACATTCACCGCGAATAAATTCGCGGAAAAATTTTCAGCGTTTGTATATTTCGCGCTCTTTTAAATTAAATTTTTTCAATTTTTCCAGCAATAAATATAATGATTCGATCTTTTTCTTGAAAGTTAAGACTCTATTGAATCTGTTGATATTAAAATCAATCTTGTCAAGGTTTGATTGGGAAGTCAACCCTTTTAACAACACGCCATACAGAACAACAAGTTTAACGCATGTTTGGTAAAACTGGGTCAGCTGCTGTTTATTTAAAAATTTACGCAGATGATAATTGATTCCACAGAAATTATTAAGCTTAGCATTAATAATACCAATGTAATCTATGAATTCCAGTTTTCTATCGAGATACAAACCCAGATATTTTTAAACAGATTTTTGCCTTATGTCGTCGTTGTTCATCTTTTCTTTTTCATTTCGTTTTATGAAACTAACTGTTTTAGTTTTATCTAAATTCAAAGTCAGTTTATTTTAGTCCAACCATTTTTTTTGTCAATGTATTTTCATTGCTTTCAATCAGTTTTCATTTTTCAGTCTGAGTTTAAATGGCTTTATCATCGGCATAGAAATAAGCATTTGTGTTTTCATTCATTTTTGGTATATCATTCATAAACAGAATGAAAAGTAGAGGTCCGAGAATTGAGCCCCGCGGGACTCCGTATTTACTTATTTGACTAGGCGATTTGATTTTGTTGATCCTTACAAACTGTTTAGGTTCTGATAAAAATGATTAGAATATCATATGCTGGTCCTCTTATACCAAAATCGTAACAATATACTTTATCATAACAATTGTTTAAAACAAGCTTGTGATCAACAGAACTTTTGAAACAGTTTTTTTAAATCAAGAAATGTACACTGAGTTTCAATAGTTTGGTTGTTCTAATTTATTTATTTTTTTACTAGAGAAGCAACAGCGTCAACAGTACTTCTTTTTCGCCTGAAACCGAACTGAGATTGATGTATTTTTTTTGTTGATTAACAAAATCTAAAAATCGGCCTTATATTAATCGTTCTAGTTTTTTTTCTCCAAAGATTGGTAAGATTGATATTGGTCTAAAAATGGAGGGTTGGTGTTCATTCGCTTGTTTATGTATAGGTATCGCTTTTGCAACATTTAATGAGCTCGGAACAATGTTTTTGTCAAAACATTTTTGAAAAAAAAACAGCTAGGACAGGCTCTAGTAGTTCTTTAATGTCGTGGCAATCCAGGCTGAATCTCTTTTTAAAATTTTTTAAGATCTGTTCAATTTCATAGCGTGTCACTGGTCTCAAAAACCTTGACATTTTAACATCTTTTCTGCTTTGACGTCTGATGTGCGGTTTGTGGAAAGCGTCTGCTAATTTTTGGTCTATATTTCCGGAACAATTTTTGAATAAATCTGCGTCTGTGACCATATTCTCTGTGTTAAAACATTTTTTTCTAGCAGTCCCGGTAATTTTTTTAATCAATTGAAAGAAAAAATCCTTATGTTTTTTGCGGCTTGTGCCTGCAGTTGGCTCTGATGAAAATCTTTTTATTTTTGCTATCAACTTTTTCAACCAAAATATTTTGCAATTATTTTCATCTCTAGCTTCTGCAGTTCACTTTTTTCAAATCTTCTAGGCCTATTCTTTTTGTTTGCTTCATTTTGACCTTGGTTATTATTACAAAAAGTCTTACATGAGTTTTATCTTTTTGGTTTCTCCGGGATAAATTTATTCCAATTGTCAAGAAGCATTACGTGATGTTGAGTAAAGCCCTCCTCGCAGCATTATTTATACGTATTTTCTTTTGAGTAGTCGAAGTCAATTTTCAAGCTGGTTTTGAACTGTTCTATTATACTTTCTTCTGTTGAGTAAAAGACCAATTTTTAGAGAGACAAATTGTTCAGTTTGGTTTTTTCACCCGCCACATTTAAATGATAATTAACCTCAAAAATACCTGAGATCGCTGTTTTCCTTGCCGTACTGCTGCCTGTCTGACTTGAAAAAATTTTAACTTATGCATGTTTTTGACTTTGTTCTTACCATCGTAGGTTGTTTGGTAATCAAGCAGGAAATTTCATTCCCTATCATTAAGCTACTAATTTAATTCCATTTTTTGAGCTACTCATACTGTTTATATTGAAGTCTCCTAATACTATTTGATATGATCCTGGGCCATCCACTGAATTATCAAGGAAATTTTGTAATTTGGTCTGGTGATTGACTGCACTCGGTGGAATGTCCACGCTGGCTATTTTTTTACGGTTCCAAAAATATCATTCGAAGATTAATATCGTTAATTTTTTACCTTATCTGATATTGAGTGTCCTCACGCACAAAGATACCTACACCTCCGCCCCTTTTTTTCCCACCACTAGTCTCGATGTTTTTGTATCGTTTTAATTGGAACATTTATTTTGGATCCTCCGGTTTCAATCATGTGTCCGTTACACATATTGCTAAAAGTAATTTATGCAGTGGTTCAATTTGAACCTGCAGCTGAACGATGTTTTTCTTATTGAGTGAATACTTTGAAGTAAAATAGTATGATTAGTATTTTTGTTTCTCCTGAAATGACATTGTTGGCAGACAGGATTTGATATAGAAAGTAAGTAGAACTATCTTCCCTCGACCCAACCTGTATTCTTCCCTCAATTTTGATTTCTTATTTTGATAAATTTTGATATACCAGTTTTTTTATATTACTTTTCGCTCCAGTTTCCTACCTTGTAAAACTTACTTTCAAGATTTTTTTCTATGTATTTTTTACGAAGCACTTTTTCCGTGCGTAACTACAAGGATGCATCGTACAAGCAACTTTCAGAACCCCTGCGTAGTCACAGGAAAAAGAAAAGGAAAAAACATAATTCGCTTCGCAAACTAAAACCAAAAAACTGTTTTTTTTCTGGTCTGAAGAAAAAACATTAAAAAAGTGAAATTGAAGTCTTTTTTCCGCTCGTTGAGCAGTTTGGGTTCTTTTTCATTAGGTGCTAATGGTTACAAAGTCTCATGTACGTTACAAATCTCATGTACGTTACAGATTCAACAAAGATATTTTTGTATAGTTTCAGTTCAGTTTCTGCAGATGTCATCTTTACTATTATCTTCTGTTTTGGCGTTTGTGTTCCGGGGATGTTTTCTCACTCGAAGCTGAACTGCCCGCTGCATCGGCATTATCGTCGAAATTGCGCTTTAAAGCTGTTTTTTTTTCTGTTTATCTAGATCAGTCATACAGTTGACCTCAACAAAATTTCGTTGAATATTAGGGTCCTTGATGGCCACTGATATAACGCAGCTATTGGTAACGGTGTTCATACCACGTTTCGCCGCCTCTGCTCTATTTCGATTTCGGCTTCAGTTGCAGGAAGTCGTTCAAAGACATATATTGGTTTTTTATTGATTGGTTATATTTTATTCGCAGAATTCTTCTCGCGTTAAATACTTTATCCTTGGGGTGATTCGATTTGGGGGGGGGGGATTCTACGGTTGATCCTAAATTTCTATTATTAAAATCTAAATTGAAACTTCAGTTTTCAATAAGCCGAGATTGATTGCATCACATAACAAAAAACAACCAACCAAGAAACTGCGATAAACGCCCAGTGTAGTGCAGTCTCTATAAACAATGACTTGAAGCATGATTGCACGAAACAACTTGTATGAAGTCTGAAACAATTCGTTGATACGGCAGGGCCATATAAGTTTATTCGCTTAGTAGAAGTATGACCGCAAAATACCTATTACCGAGCAATAGAGCAGAACTTCGACCATTTTGTGCAAATTTTTGATCAAAAAATGAGATAAATCAGACCATTCTTAAGTTAAACATCAATTGAATTTTTCATCATCAAGCAGTGGTAGGATTCTGTTGAAAGTTGAGTGATTATATTAAATATTAGGGCTCCGCAGGAACCAAAACATTGGATAATACGAAACTCCCAAAATGTGACAAAATAGATCAAAATTCCAAAACATCCAATAATATGGAGATAAAAAAAAGCAAATACCAGAAACCAAGCCACAAAAAAAAGTATAAGATAATACGTAAAGTGTCAATACCCACTATGGGGAAAATCGAAGGCTAAGTGGCAATTGCAAAAAAAAATTACAAGCGCTCAATGCACTAAAATTGAAGAGATGCAAGAAAAACCTCAAATAGAAGATGCAGAAAATACTTGAGTTTTTGTCTCCATTTGTAATCTGTTTTATTATCAGTGAAATTATTAAAGAAAACCCTAGTTGAAAGATTCACCCTCAAAGCTAAAAAGAGAAAACCAGAACAAAATTTTTTTTTTAAATATAACGTAATTTTCTGTTACGTCAATGCAGTTACAGCCAATTTGCCATCCGCATACAAAAGCAGAGATTTACTCACAGGGAATTACATACACACTCAAAAATAGGCAAAGCTGCACTTCTCAAACACACAAAAAATTACCCCTGTGGGAATTGAATTCATGCCATCGACTACCTACAGCTTTGGAGTCTACAGCCTAATTAGTTGTCTTTAATATACCGATCACATTAATATTTCGGTTTGTATTTACTAAAAACCAACTACCCAGACACTAAAATTGGCATTTTTCAAAAAATGGCACTAACTTATGCGGCTTGGAATCGAAAAAAAAATCGTAGTATAGCGCTAACATTTGCTTGTGTAAAGAGACAATGAAATTGGAAACCCAGCCTTCGCGTGCTTTCACAATTCTTTTAATTTGATCATATATTTTTTTCTGAACTCAAATTTAATTCATTCGAATTTCATGGTGAGTTTAAATCATTCGAATTTCATTTTACAGAAAAAAATAAGCTGCCTACATGATTTTTGAGTCGTGTGGCAAGTTATTTTTAATTGGAAGAGTTTCAAAAAACTTCAGCAGTTTATTCAAACAAAACTTTTGTATAAAGTTCACTAACAACAGTAAAATCAGTGGCGGATTTAGAGGTGGAGCGGACGTCCACCCAACCCCCCCCCCTCAGGGATTCGACCCCCCCCCCCTTTGTACTATTTTGAGTCCCCCCTTTGTACTATTTTGAGATATCCATATTTGGTGACGGACCCTTAAAACTTTCGCCAACCTATACTAACTTTAGGGTCAAATTAGGGTCTTTATCAGGGGTGGATCTAGGATTTTCTCGAGGGGGGGGGCAGATTTTCAAAAAATTTTCCAAAATTTTGACGACCCTTTTTTTTAGGTCGACCAAATTGATTTTTCGAGCCCTCCCAAAGCTCTGTTTTGACCCTATTTTGGCTAAATTTTCTGTGCCGCAGGCAAATTTTTGAAAAAACAGTAAAAAAAGCCGTATTTGGGCACTTTTTGAAAGGTTTTGGACAAAAAAATCGCGTTTTTTTTGGCGCGCGCTCCCCCTCAAAGTTAGTATATAATGGCGTCCAAGGCGCCTTTAGAAAAATTTTAGTGTCGGTCGGCCAAAAATGGATTTCTGAAAAAGTATTTAAGGGGGGACCCTTTGGGTCGGCAGGGGTCGAATCATTGAGGGGGGGGGGCGTCCGCCCCCCCCCCCCCCCTAAATCCGCCCCTGGTCTTTATAATGGTTTGGGAGAGCTCATAAAATTAATTTGGTCGGCCTAAAAAAAAGGTCGACAAAAGTTTCAACAATCTGCCCCCCCCTTCGAGAAATTCCTAGATCCGCGCCTGAGTAAAATACTATTAATTAATATTATGCTGATAAGTTTACCGTAAATAATTATAACAAAATACTTAACAGTACTAAATAAAAAATTATACCATACTAATATAAGTTTTATGTAGCTATTCTCATCATATAATCTAACTGATGCATGTGTTGCCGAAAACCATTTATTTAAATTTGAAAAGCAGTTGACCCAGCACTGATTCCTAGTGAGCGACGAGGAAACATCGGACACAGAAACCTTCAACTTTCTTTACATTCCCATTTTCCATTGATTGTTCTAATAAATTCAACCGTAGAATCTCATAATTGCTTAGATTTGGTTTCAGCTAAGTGTACCATAGAAAAGAAAACATCACGGTTGTCGAGAAGCAGTCATGAGATAAAAAATATATTTTTAAAGCAATAAGATTTGTATAAAAAATTTTGAAGCTCAATGAATCATCTTCGACTGTTCGAACAAGGAACACTTGTGCATTCCTTGCGAGAATGTTCTTTCAATATATTCAGTATTTTACAGCTCTGAATTTGCCACTTTTAATGTTTAGCTGTATTCTTCCTCCGGCTCCGCTCCTGGCTCTTCGTCATACATGGGTTCCCCGGCCACCATCTCTTCGTAGCTCTGGTACTCACTGATCAGATCCTGCATGTCATTCTGAGCCTCACAGAACTCCATTTCGTCCATACCCTCATTTGTGTAGAAAAATACATATGCTTTCTTCTTGAACATTTTCTCAAATTGGTCCGATATTCTCTGAAACATGCTTTTGATTGACGTGTTGTTGCAAATAAAAGTTGCAGACATTGGAACATCCTTAGCGGGTACGTTACACACCGCTGTTTTGACATTGTTTGGGATCCAGTCGACAAAATAGCTGCTATTTTTCGTCTGTGCCAACATCAGCTGTTCGTCGACTTCTTTCATTGACATCTTACCCCTGAACATTGCCGCAACAGTCAAGTACTTGCCTTGCTTGGGATCCGTCTTTGTCATCATGGTTCTGGCATCGAACATTTGAGTCAGAAGGTTACTAACAGTCGGGGCAGTGAACGCTTGGTTGCTTCTGTTCGTCAGAGGCGCGACCGAAGTCATGAAGAAATGCGACCTAGGGAACGGAACCATGTTAGTCGCCAGTTTCCTGAGATCCGCATTCAGTTGTCCAGGGAATCGAAGACAAGTAGTTACTCCACTCATAGTTCTAGACACCAAGTGATTCAAATCACTATAAGTGGGATTTGGCTTCTTCAGAGGTCCAGTCCAGATTGAATACAGTGCCTCGTTATCAATGGTATAAGACTGGTCAGTTTGATCAATCAAAACGTGCAACGAGAACACGGCATTGTAGGGTTCTACAACAGCATCTGAAGTACTAGGTGAGGGGACAACTGAGAATGTACTGAATATCCTGTCAGGGTATTCCTCTCGGATCCTCGACACCAACAAGGTGCCCATTCCAGATCCAGTGCCACCCCCCAGGGAGTGACATAGCTGGAAACCCTGCATGCAGTCACAGGTTTCAGCCTCTTTTCGGAGACAATCTAAAACTAGGTCTACGTGCTCGGCGCCTTCTGTGTAGTGACCTTTCGCCCAGTTATTTCCGGCTCCGCTTGCCGCGTGGATGTAGTTGTCTGGACGGAATAAGCCCCCAATAGGACCCGCCCGAATCTGATCAAGACATCCGGGTTCTAAATCGACCAAGAGCGCACGGGGAACATACCGATCTCCCTGAGCTTCCTGGAAGTACACATCTATCCTCTCGAGTTTGAGTTGTTTGTCAGCCTCGGTGTCACCTTCACTAGGCGCGTACGCTCCATCCTTGTTGATATTGTGCTCATCCGTAATCAGTTCCCAGAACTTCGCTCCAATTTGGTTTCCACATTGGCCTACCTGAACGTGAACTATTTCTCTCATTTTTGATACGACGGAATATTCGAAAACAACGCGTTCAATTTTCTCTTAATGGTAGTTTTGTTAACCAAATTTGAGCGCAAATTTCAGACGAGTCAACCCGATTTGATTGGATGTAAAGTATGAACAGCCCAACTTCGCTGCACACAAAGATGCCGGAACAAATAAATAGTTGTTTGGAAAACACACATTCCGCCTAGTATAACATCAGTGACTCGGCTGAATATATGACAATGAGGGAACCTTAAGCGTGTCATTAGCAATTATTCGATAGTCACTGAGCAATATTTGAGAAACTCCGTAAATTGTTAGAAGCTCAATTATTACATGGTATGATTGGTTTAATGCTCGAGATATTGTTTGCAAATAGAGGTTCAATTTCAGCATTATTCAGAATTTCTAAAGAAAATGCCTCAAGAAGAGACCACCAATCAATAATCAGTAAATGAAGTGAAGTTCTTTGAAGCCCAGATTTTGGCGTAGTAGATCAGGAATCCTATCGGTTTGAAATTAATGTTATCCAACACTTCTAGTATCTTTTTGCCTGACATATCAAACGCTTGCAACAAAAACAGAAAAATTATATATTTACAAAAAAAAACGAAATCTATCAAAAATTCTTTCAAACAATTATTTTTATGTAAACTTGTCGAGAAAGACAAATGCCAGCGTTATATTAGCATTGAAAAATTACGCAGACAGTATTCGGGTAGACGCTTGTTGAGCCGAAAAAAAAGATAGCACAAAAAATTTGCAAATTTTATTTCGTCAACCCGACGAAATAAAGAAGTGAGCATGAAAAAGTTCAATAAACATCCGACCTACTTCGTTCTCCAGCACATAAAAAAAGATGGCTGCTATTAGATAAACAATCGTTTTTCTTTTTGAAACTGTGTCTTTTTTATTCGTAGTGTGATGAGAGGATCTGAACAAATCCCTAGAATTTAGGCATACAAGTACTAGCAACTTAGGTATATTTGATTTTTTTTCAAATTTTACGAAGAAGGCGCTAATAGAAACTTTGAAAACTAATTGCATTGGAATAAAATTGAATTTTCACTGCTTAAATTGAGCTATCAGGAAAAGACTAATATGAGCCCACTATTAGCCTGCTCGCTCGCTTTATTCGCTCAAAATTAGATTTTTCGAAAAATTTTAAACCGGGTTTTTCAATCGACTGAAAGTGCTTTAACATGATATATCACTCAATCTATTCCCATAACTATTTCTTGAACCACACTTCGAGTGGAAAAATAAAAAATTAAAACACCCGAGGACAAAAACTTTTCCCATTTTAAAAGGCAAAAACCCTTCCCATTTTATTTTAAAGGGTTGAGGCAATGATTAATGAACACAGAATCTATCACCAACAATCGAACTTTCATATAACAGTCAATTGGCAAACACAGGTAAAAAATTACGAAAAATTAAACAAGTTTAAAAAGAAGATTTTCAATATGGGCTAACAATTCTACATAGGCCAGAGCCCTGTGAGTTCATCAGTTTTTTGAGCAGAAAAGTTGTGTCAGAACACATAAACGCAAGTTTTGATTTTGTAGAAGCAATTTCAACTAAAAATGATAGATTGGAAATAGATTGGAAGTAGCTTGGAACTAGAGAAAACATGATCACCAGAAAATTGACAAATCTTAACGAAGTAAAATTAATCGAAAACCAGTAGCTTCAAATGGACGTTTGTGGCAGAACAAAATAAATCACTTTTTAGAAAAAGGAAGAATTCCTACATATAAAAATTTTTCAGACAGTTGGGAATAAATGAGGTAAAACAGACCGACCCATAAACATATCTTCCGAACAATTTATATCCCTGTAGACTTCCTATTCCAAAGAAACCAGGAGGGGTTACCAAGGACCATTTTTCTCATGAGCGATGAGCAAGGATAATTAGTTGACATTTCTTCAAAACATCTATCAAGCAAAACCATGTCAATGCCAAATGTCAACAACAAATGTCATCGACAAACGTCAATGTCAAAGTCAAATACTAGAAGTTGAACCATAATTTATTTTTTTTATCGTCAACTGTTATACGCCCGTTAGTATAAGCTCCTTCAAGATAAAAATAAATCTCCTTCGTAGAAACCTGAGCCTATTTGTTATACAGTTAATGCCAAATTATTGTCAATATCTTTTCGGTCAACGAATCCGAACGAAATTAATTAATCTAAGACTGCTCATTTTGACGTAGAATTTCATCTAATTACCCTGATTTCCACACGTAAAAACAGTTTCTTCAAAACTAGTCATCCTAAAATGCTTTCGTTTTCGAGCATTTAACACTGCTCAAGATCATCAATATTGCCAACAGTTTGGCTTTAATTATGAAAAAGGCAGGTATTTGCCCTCTAATTTTTTTAAATTAAAAACAGCTGATACATGAGTGAAGCGCTTAGTAGAAAACTCGCTCAAACCAAGCACGTCAAATTCAACACTTTTTTTTAGCTGTGCAAACAATTTTTTCTCTATCTCAGCCTTGTAGAGTCCATGCACAAAAGCGGGAACTGATTTGTTTCCATGAAACATCTAATGATGTTACTTTTTGTTCTTTAGAAGAAAAAAATCGACGTTTTTAAAGTTATAATTAGAGGTATTTCCATACATATTAAGCCTGTATTGCAAAATAATTTAGCCTTATACAAAATTCATCAAGTTCGAGATACTTTACAGCAACTTTTTTTAAAAGAGCGTTCACGGAATTCGAGTTTATTATCTACAAAAAGAACCAAATATTTGATTAGTTTCTCATTTTTAAGAATATTTTTTACTGATTCTATCTATAAAATGGGAACTTTTCTCAAATTATTAGAAACAAATTTTTCCCGATTTAAATTTCATCGAATATACTGAACCATTCAAGGCTAATTTAATCATCTTTTCCAAGCGTATTACTACTCCAGCAAGATTTTAAAAATGTAGTATTATCAGCGAAAAGAAAACATTTGAAATTTGGCATGCATCAAGCATATCGTTGATATATATAAAAAAGCAAGACTGCTCGTATTAGGGCAAAGTCCTGAATGTTCCGACTGTCCATAAACTGTTCTCGAATAGTTTTTATAATTGAAATATTGACAAACTATGAATTTCCAGCTAAAAGAGTCGTGTATGGAATTAATAGGACTAATTATTTCGGCTCTTTTCGAGTCCCCCCCCTTTCAAATTCAATTTTGAAAAGCTTATTTAACGTTGTCATAATGCAATGAAATTTGGCGTGGTGAACAAAACGACAACTGTGAACAGATTTGTTGTTCATACTTTACAACGTAACATCACGCATTTAGCCGTAATAACACGTAAAACAAACATAAAACTCGGTATTTTGAAAAGGGGGGAACTGGAAAAGAGCCATTATTTCAGTTGATCCTATTACCTCAATTGAATTTGGAACGATTTTGTGGTGCGGTATAATTCGCCATGCCTAAATCAGCATCAAAGTATCACAGCGCTCTTATAGTCACGTTAGTATTTTAGTTATCATTTCACAGCCATCTTTAAGTCAGGAAGTCTAGTGGTGAGCGCGTCCCTCCTGGGACAACGAAGTTCCCTGGTTCGATCCCTCTAGTGAAACATTTTTGAGAAATGGTGTATAAAAAAACCACCCCGAGCATATATATTAATTACTTTCTTCGAAAGTCGGAAGAGAAAGCAGTGGCTCTAATATGGAGCCTTGAGGCATACAAAACAAACTAATTTACCGCCTGAAATTTCAATCCTATGCTTAACATTCTTTCCGCCCACTTGGATAACTTTCCAAAAATTAGTTACCTTTTCTTCGAAATCCTTGTAATATGTAAGCAACGTAATAAGTTTAAGAGAATTTTGTGATTAATTGTGCCAAATGCTTTCTGAGATTAAAAGTTTCTCATCAATGGACAGAAAATCTGTGAAACGAATTAAAGCAAAATGCTTATTTTTTAGGCAAGAGTATGACATATTAACGTTGCTATTGATCATTCAAAAATAGCACAGCATGAATAGCACTGCAATTTTGCATATCTATTTTCTAGTGAAAGACTTAATGCGAACCTCGATTTGCCCTTTTTTGTTTTTACTATTTTACAGCGTAATCTGAGATCATTTAATCTGAGACAACGTTATAATTCAATCTATTGACAGCGGCGAAGTTGTACTTCGCATACACAAGCAAAAATTTGACCGATAACGCTACTGGGAAAACTGAATGAGTTAAATTCTGTCTACAAAATTTCTTAAGCGACGCTCGCCAATTATGACGCATTAGCAGTAAATTTGAAAAAATAAGAAATTTACCAACTAACATGATTCAACTTAAAGAGCGTACGCATTTTAACTACTATACGAAAAACTTCATTAAAAACAGCCGCCCCTACCCAGGTTCGAACCCTCTTATTTTGCTGCTGGCCTGCTTCCCTACATCTACGCTATAGATCCATGATACCTTGAAGCTAAAGTGCTATTTGTAATATATTGGTCTGTGTTAATATCCTTAGCATTGGCTGTACCTAATAGCTGGATCAAAATTTGACATGAACACATTTTGTCGCAACAACTGCATCGCAACAATAATTGCGACTTAGGTTGGAAAAAAGAATGTTCATACTATAACACAAGCTATCCTTGTGTTATTATTTGTTTATTTCCTTATGTCTGCTGTTTTTTATCGTTCCCAGTTGTGTCGAGCTACCGATTGCTTGAAGATGAGCTACCTATTCTTTCAGTTGCACATGTATATACCGACTAATCTCGATAGCTCGGGCTAGCGAATTACGCGAGCTACCAAGTGATTCACGCACTACTCAGGGTGCTACTTTCAATTTAATGACAATAAGCAAGTCTGAACCCAAGCTCTCCGTTAAAAACTATTCCAAGCATTGGATACACTAATTTTCTTTGGACTACACAACTTTAAGGCCACTACAAACATTCATCAAAATGATCAGTAACAATTTCTCTGACTGTAAATTCAGATAAGCTATTAAGGTTCCCGGCACCTTTGAAGAGATAGTTTTTAGAGAAGTCTATTGGTTTTTGATCCATCACAGTTCTAGTATTGATAGAGACGGGCAGCGAATTACATCTGCTGCTGATGTTCATTGTGCGAATTGCTGCGATGATGATGACGAATTCTTGGATAAATGGCGGGGGTTCGTTTCTGTTGTCTGGTGTCTAATCGACCTACTGCACTTCATGAGTCACTTCCAGTTTCTGAACTCTGTCTAGTAGTTCTGTAACTTTACTCTCCAGTTTCTCTGTCACTGAACATAAACCAAAAATGAATAAATATGAATAAATGCATCCTCAAATGCAATAAATACACATTCTATTTCACTACATGAATAAGCTATCAAACAAATAAGATAGACTTAAAAATCAGCGCTAGATTAAAACAATCCAGCATGCGCAAATAATTGATCAGGTAGTGGTTGCAAAAACATTCACTAAAAAAAAAGTGATTAATTACACTTGTGCAATTCGCTGTTCTCGCTCTCTAGGTCTCTGATTCTGCCACTCAGCTGCTCACTGACAGTGTCTCCAAAACTCACAGTTCTCGTTCTCTTCGTTCCTTTGTTCTTATTCTGACTGTTGTCATGGTGATTTTGCTGATGATGGTTGTTCTGAACACTTTGACCCTGCTGATCTTTCTGACTGTTCCTCCTCGAGTCCCTCCGGCCTCCTCTTCGATTACCTCCCCAGCTACCTTCGGATCCCGAGTTGTTCCTGGAACCCCCACTTCGCCTATAACCACCACCATGCTGGTCTCCCCAACTGTTTCGATTCCCTGAGTGTCTTAGAGCCCTTTGGATAGTCTGTCGTGCATCTGCTATGTGTTGTTTCAGTTCCCCGAACTGCTGGTGATGAGAGGAGTAGAACTGCTGGTTTCGATGGTACTGAGGTCCGTTGGATCCCCTCTGAGCACCCTGATACATGCTGCCTCTGATGTAGTTGTGGTTATGATGACTATAGTACTGATTCTGGTCCCAGTAATTGTTGTGATGGTAGTTTACTCCGTTCTGTTTATGCCCATGACTGCTACCATTCTATAAATCATGACTAATTATTGGAATATTTTTGCCTTAATGTACATTTAACGCAAAGCAAAGTTTACGGAAGTCATTGTATTAAGTCATTGTATTAAGTCAGACATGATACGCTTATTGCTTGTTGACATGTTAACATTTAACCATAAAAACAAAATTATGTATATAAAACTTGCAAGCCCGGGAAAGGAAGAACATAGCCACCTGACAGTTGGAAAAGAGTAATGAATGCAAGGAAACTGAAAAAAAACGGACTTGTTTTTTTTTTCAAAAACCTTCAACTTTTGAATTTCGAAAAAAATAGATAGCCTAAAGCTTTTTGAATTTGTAGCACAATTAATGATGGACACTTCTATGCTAAAATTAGTCCATTTTGAGAAAACTGGATCAATAGGTTAAATTTTTAATTCGCTTATACTTTTATTTCGAAATAATTAATTTCCATTTTCGAAATAAGTCGATTTAGAAGTCGATTCGATTCGAAGTCTTTACACTTTCACTGTTCGATAGTGGAGTTTGCCTTCCTTTTAACAATGGAAATGCACTGAAATTGAAAACAAATCACAATTCAAACCGCGAAGAATCAAACTTGAGCGTAGAACAAATTTGAAGCCTTTTCCCAAAAAAAAATAAGCAAAAAAATCAGCACGACCTATCTAAGAGTACTCACTACGTTCATTACTCTCTAACAGTCGCTTTTTAATAGAAATCTCACTTTACGAGCTTTAGCTACCTGCTGCTGGTGATTCTGTTGAGAGTTTGGCGACTTGGAGTCTCTTCTGTTTCTGTAACTGTTGTTTCTAGACCTGTTCTGACCCCTGTTTCCCTTTCCTTTGGCACTCTTGTCAAAGTGGACTGACCCATGTGGGTTGTTTCCTACTGTCGGCGGGGAAAGCGTACCTGCCTGGGCACAGAAAAAGGCTCCTTCTGAGGTCGTTGCCGACCTGTGGCCTAGCCACACCCCTTCTTTCAGCAATGCGTCAGAGGCACCGCCACTCATCGTTAACCTCTGAAAACTACCAATTGATTTCTGAACTTTGCTCAACAAAACATTTTGGTTAATGATTCTTTTTAAAGCACTGGGTTTTTTGAACAGCAGAAAGTTACTTTTGATTGTGCCTCATTATTCAGCAACGTAAACCTAAAATTTAATGATCGAAAATTTACACAACTAGGCGTAGCAGCACTTCGTCAACGCAAGCAACCAATGTTAGATTTATTACCTTTTCCATAATTGGAATGTTAAACGCTAAATTTTGTTTTGACGATTGCTATTGGAGAGAGACTGTGTTTGTATTTTTGTTACGTTTATTTTTCCACACAAAACCAAATACCACAAAAAATCATCAGAATGGTCCGATTGATATATCACATTCAGCCCATTCAGTCGTTATTCGAACATTAAAAAATTTTCAACAAATCATTGTCGAGAAAAACCGGATTGAATTTTCGGAAGGGTTCATGAAGCCAATTCTGCTACTTCCTCATGATTTGTGTTGTTTTTGCGCCAGCCCTACTTCTTCCACCTATCTATCTAGGTCATTGCTTCCGTGGTGGAGATCAATGTCATCCAATTTAAAGTAGACGGTCCCACCCTGAGGCATATGACACGGTGCCCCTCCAACCGTGACCGTAATGGGATTCAAACCCCCGACCTTTAAGGTACGTAAAACAAACAAGCCAACACAGTTGGAAAAAAGCCAATGAACGCAAGGAAACAGAAAAAAAAAACACATTTTTTAAAAGTTCAAATTTCGAAATTCAAGGAAAAAGTATATGGCCTTAAAGAAAATAATATGATTGGAATTTGATGAAGTCAGCCCAATTTGAGAACTCTGGATCAATAGGTAATTTTTTTTGCGCTGGGAATTTTGAAAATTAAAACAAAACCACACTTTCGTAAACTTGGAGTCTATCACGCTTTTCATGACCTTTTTACTTTTGCTGTTGGATAGTGGAATTGGCCCTCCTTTTAACAAAAGAAAGGAACTGAAAAAACTCAAACCACAAAAATCAAATTTGAGCGTGAACAAATTTTGAAGACTTTCTACGAAAAAAAAATACAAAATCATCACGACCTATATAAGAGTCTTCAGAACGTTCATTGACTCTTCAAAGAAAAATAAAACATTTAACAGAGCATAATTTGCGACACATGGTTACAAGAAATTTCATGATTCAAAAATTTTCATTTCTAACGCTTAAGAACTAATTGTTCATACTGAAGCAACTAAAGTACCTTTTGTTGGAGAAATCAAAATAACAAAGCATAAGTGCGAAGTCGAATAGCTACCTGCTATTTAAAATTTAGATATAAAATCCCGTTGAGACTGCCCTTTCATCCTTCTATGGCTGACAATTCATCGGAGACTTCATTCAAATAGTTCATTTGCTGAATCCCATTCCTCCGTTTTAAACTTTGACAAAATTGAAACCATCACTTTTATAAGAACCAAATGAGGTTAGCTGGTAAGCTGAATTTCGGACGCTGTTTTTCTTCCGCTAAGCTTCAGACTATTAACCAAAAATCAATACAGTTTAGATGACTGGTTATCATCTATCAAAATGCTTCAACGATAGCAAAGGTTAAATTTTGGTTACATTTTCTCACTTCTCGGCGCAATTCTAGCAAAATAGATTAAAAACAACAGCAGCTCAATTACCGATTATAAGAGGACAAGGCTGTGCTATTTGACAAGCTCGAAAAATTGCACTGTTCAAGCCAGGGGCGGATCTGGGAATTTTTCGAAGAGGAAGGAGCGGATTTTCAAAAAAAAAAAATCGAAATATTTGTCAACCTTTTTTTTTTGCAACCAAATTGATTTTCGAAGCTCTCCCAAATCTTTATGAAGACCCTATTTTGACCAAACTTTCAGCACCGCAGGCGAGTTTGTCAAAAAACAGGCCAAAGGGCGTTTTCAGGCACTTTTTGGAAAATGTTGACCAAAAACTCGTTTTTTTGGCGCGCCCTTCCATCGAAATTAGCATTTATTGGCGCCTAACCCACCTTTATAAAATTTTAGGGTCGGACAGCCAAAGTTTGATGTCTAAAACAATTTCAAAGGAGGCGACACCCCCCCCCCCCCTCAATCCGCCCCAGGTTAAATCCTGACTACAATTAATGAGTCTTCACATTAATGAGTCTGGCTTTGGCCGCGCGTACCAGTCCTTAAACTAGAGGCTGTGGGCTTTGGCTTTGATCAAAACACATCCCTTTGAAAACAACTATGTTGAGATTACGTAACTAACTCTCAAAACAGAGCAAAGCAGTACTAAACGACATATAAACAATACTAATTCATATCCCAGATACAATGCAATTCGAGGCCCAGTTTGCTTCGCAGTTGTGACCTGAAGTGTAAGTAGTCGTTACGAAAAACAGGTTATACTCTGATAAGTTAAATAACAATTAACCACTTAGGTACTTGGGTAGCACGTTCTTGGGTCGGAGTCTCGTCTGATAAATTTGTCTCCTTTCTTTTCAATTGTAAAAGTCTGATTTCTGTTAAATTCGGAAAATGTGGAGTGAGTCCAACTGAATGTTTCAAATTGGGGAGAAGTGGGATACGTCTAAGTCCTGGGCGTCATAGAAAACCTCTTCCTCGTCGTCCTCCTGGAATCGGAAGTGCAGCTTCAGTTTGCTCTTCACATTAATGAGTCTGGCTTTGGCCGCGCGTACCAGTACTAGACACATGAGACGGAACCAATGTAGATTAAGAAAGTCCATTCCCAGGAAACACATGCCGAATACCTGAGAAAAAAGAAAAAGCATGGTTATTAATGTATTTCTTTTCGACAGCTTCAATTTAAACTGACTGCAATTCTGAGCCGAATCCGGGCATCCGCTATTTTCACTATAACAAGAACCATGCATCATTAAGAAGCATAATGTTACAAGATTATGTAACCTAGAAATTAGTGTAGTCCAACCACATTTTTTTGCTCTATCAACAATGGCCGCCGTCTAGTCCAACCGCTTTTATTTTCTTTATCAAAAATGGTCGACCACTTTATTCGTAATGAATTGAATCAAAAATGAACTGTGGTAGATTAATCTAACAAAAAAAATTACGCTAAGCTAGATTAAAAACAGCAATAACATGACTATTTAAATTCGTAATATAAATTTAAGCCATCTTTCCATAGGTTATCACAGTTTTATCTTCGAAATAAAGATTATGACAAAAAATCAGTCTTAATTTAATGGAATTATATGTTGAAGCGTTTTTCAATACAATATGATCACGTATGTCGTTCCAAAATGGTACAGCTCCCATCAAAAGATTTTTCAATAAATGTGGTTATATGTCCTTGAATGATGTTTTTTTTGCTCGTCTATGTTCAGTTAACTGCTAATTTTGGACATAACTTGGTAATAAGTTCTTTTCTAATCTTTCAGAAGAGGCATGATAATTTCCAGTTTAAAAAAAAATCAAATGAAAATATTTTTACTGGGTCTTTTAGTCAGGGGATGAATCATATTTAAGAAAACTACAGCAAGTTTTTACTGCCCAAATTAAATGTTTCTTAGGTGATACTACTAGATAAATTGATATTGTATTTAGTAAGATAGCTGGCTCACATCACAACATTTTCATCAACACAGAGGCGAAGCAGGCCTTCGCTAAAACAAAAGCGTAACATTACGTGTTTTCAAATAGTGAGTGAGTTGGAAATAAGAAAAAGTCAATCTCAGAAAAAGAGATTAGAAAAACAACCACTAGCAAAAAAACAAGCTTTTAGCATTTTCCGAGCTTTAATCAAGCCAACAAAACGTGGTAAGACATCAATTGATCCGAACCCAAAAAATGGCAAACAAAATTGGTCATGAAAAAGCTAATCAATTCAATCTCAGAAAACAAACAAGAAACACAAACTAGCTTTAAGCAAGTTTTTAGCATGTTCCAAGCGTTCATTAAGTAAAGAACACGTGGTTAGATGCCAATTGATCCAAAAAACGTTGGAGGAAACCGTTGCTACAAAAAATCAAGTTTTTTTTTTAAATACGAAAAAATGAATCTCAGAAAAACAGACAAGAAACACAACAACTAGCATAAAGCAAGCTTTTAGTATTTTTTACGGACGTTCTCTAAGCCTACAACATGTGATTAGACATCAATTGAGTCGAAATCAAAAAATAGCAAAGGAAATTGTTGTCATAAAAAAACCTGATCGCTTTAAAGAGTTTGAACGTACTTTTATACTATCAACCGACCTGATTTATTTAAAACACGATTAATCATTTTAAAAGTAAGTTCGCTAAGACGACAAAACAATAGAGAATTTTTAAAACCTACAGATGTTGTAAAAGACTACAATCAAAACTGGTTGGAGCAAAACAACTCGTGGTATGGCAGCTAAGCCGACGAAACATAAGTTTACAAACTGTAAAACGAATTATAATTTTTTCAATGTTTCCCCGGAAAAAAAATCGATGTCAGACACGGAAAAAAACAAGTTCCGGGCAGGACTCGGTTGCCTTACCATTCTTCGTAAAGCCAACTTCATTACCTCTAGACCAAGTGCGCTGGGGAGTAGAAGTTACGAAGGTTTAATAACGACTGCGACACGACACCCACACGAGAACAAACCCGGCTACTGGAGGTCACTCATCCCCCGACCTCACCATCTGCTCCGGAGACATAGCAGAGGACATCCGGACCAGCTGGAAGACAGGCGAGGATGTCGGGTCCGACCATCTGCCGATTATCTGTGACCTCCCGCACAAACGGGCTAGACAGGCTAGACCACAGCCAAAGTGGTGCTACAAGAAGGCAGACTGGAATGCCTTCCGGGACGCCCTCAGCACCATGAAGCCCGAAGGAAGAAGCCTGGAAGAAGAGAATAGCAACTTCCTGAAGTCGGTCCTTCGTGCTGCCAAACTTGCCATCCCGAAAGGGGCACGGAAAGGCCGTAACAGGCCATTCTGGAGCGACGCCTGCAAGAAAGCAAAAACAGAAAGAGAGAAGGCCAGGAAAGACGCTGAAACTAGCCCGACGATCGAGAACATCCAGTCCTATAAAGAGAAGCGGGCGCAAGCCGACAGCACCATCAAGAAAAAGAAGCAGCGGTTCTGGGACTCTAAGTGCAACGAGATGAGCCTGGACACCGACCTATTTCGGACTCTCAAGAACTTCCGTGGAGATGGTGGCCAACAGAAGGATTCAGCTACCATCAAACGCTCTGGTGATGCCGGCCAACCACTCCGGGACGCTGTCACAGATCGACAGAAGGCGGACCTGTTCTGCCAGATCTATGCAAAAGTCTCTAGAGTGGAACACAGCCGCGAGGACCGTCCGACCACCAGACAAGCCCGGACAATCCTCAAGCAGGAACGCGGTTGCAACAAAGAGAACGCCTGCAGCGCCTTCAGCCTCAGGCAGCTGAGATGTGGCCTCAGAAACCTGAAGAACAGGAAGAGCCCGGGACATGACGAGATCAGCAACGAAATGCTGAAACATCTTCCCCCATCCGCAGAGGAAACCCTCCTCCATCTGATAAACCACTCCTGGGACTCTGGCAACACTCCCCACGGTTGGAGAAGGGCGATTATCATACCCATCTTCAAAGGGAAAGGGAAGGCCAAGGAGAAACCCAGCAGCTACCGACCAGTCACACTCACCAGCTGCACCGCGAAGCTGGCGGAACGTCTCGTCGCCACCCGCCTCGTCTACCACCTGGAGTCGAAGAAGAAACTGGCCCCTTGCCAAGCTGGCTTTCGTAGAGGCAGAAGCACCGAAGAACAGCTAGCGAGAGTGACCCAAGATATCTTCGACGGCCTAGAGGCCAAGGAACCTCGCCGTGCCGCCCTCGTCTTGCTAGACTTCAGCCGTGCCTACGACAAGACGTGGAAGGCAGCCCTCTACGTGAAGCTGAAGGACCTAGAGGTGCCGACGTGCATGATCCGCTGGATCAAAGGCTTCCTAGCCGACAGACGAGCTAGGGTGCGCTGGAATGACACCCTCAGCAAGGAGCGTGTCTTCAGGGAGGGACTACCACAAGGGTCCGTCTTGGCACCAGCGCTGTGGCTTTGTTATTGCAACGACATCTGGCAGACAGTCCATGACAGAGCCCCGGACTGTGGCCTCAGCCTCTTTGCCAATGACACTGCACTGGTTGCCTCCGACCGAGAGCTTAAGAAATGCGCCACCAAGCTTCAACCGGCCCTAGATGCGGTCACGGAGTGGTGCTCCCGCTGGAAAGTCCAGCTTGCACAGTACGAGGACGCGGCCGAAAGCAAGTGCTGCTACACTGTGTTCACGCTAGATCCAGCGGAGAACAACAATAAGACCAAGCTCTCTCTCACCCTCGCCGATCACCCAGTGAAGTTCGAGAAAACCCCTACTTTCCTGGGGCTGAAACTGGACTGCCAGCTGACATTTGCCGCACACGCTGAAGATGTCAAGAAACGGATGGCAAAGAGACGCAACGGCCTTGCCGCCATAGCTAGACGGTCTGTCGGGATCTCCCAACACAACCTCAGAGCAGCCTATATCGCCACCACCCGCGCGGTCGCGGACTACTCTTCTGCATTCTGGATGAACCATGCCCAGCCATCGACCCGTAAGGCCGTAGAAGCTGCTCAAAACAAGTGTGCGAGAGTAATAACAGGCTGCCTCGGACTCACCAACGAGAAAGCCCTCCTCGCCTGCGCCGACCTCCCGCCATGTCGCTCAAGAGAGGGCGTCGGTGCTCCGCGAGCGCCTACTCCGCATCCCCGACGACGTCCCAGCGCACAAGACTGCCAAAGCCTGGGTGCAACCAAGACTAAAAAGCCGGACCCATGAATCCTGGAAGAGGAACAACGACCACGAGCCAGATGACACCGACACCCAGAGGACACACCGAGGCTGCTGGAGGAGAATCGCGACAGAGATGGACTGTATCGCCGAGCTGGACAGCTTCCCCCTCGAACAGATTAGTTGCCAAATTGCTCCTTGGACACTGTACCAACCGGAGACCTTCTTCCGCCTTGACTTGGCAGACAGAGACATCAAGAAGGAGAAGTGCGACTCCCAAGTCTCCATCACCAATGACCTACTGGATTCCCTTACCAAGGATGACATAGAGATCTGGACAGACGGATCGGTGCAGGAAGGTAACCAAAATGGAGGAGGAGCAGCTATTATCACCACCAAGCTTACGAGTACGACCCTAAAGTCTGCAGCCGGTGCTGTGGCGTCCTCCTATGAAGGCGGAGCGTCAGAATCATGACTGATTACCTCTTTTCGCCCAGCAAACTAGCGACAGGCTCAGAGGGCCAGGACACCAACAGCGGCATCACCATATGGAAGGCGGTTGAGAAGATTGGGCGTTGCACTTTCGTCTGGGTCCCCGCACACTGCGGACTCGAAGGGAACGAGTGCGCAGACGTAGCAGCCGGAGAGGCAACTCACCTCGCCCAGGATATACTCCCACTGACACTCAACACAGCCAAAGCCGTCATCAAGAAAGAGCGAAGACTAAAGGACAAGAGGTACCTCCAAAACTGGGCAACTACCATGAAAAACCGCCCGAAGAAGTTCCTCAACAGATGGGAAGAGGTCACGTGGAACCAACTACGAACGGGCCACTCCTCACTATCCAGAGCTGACCTGGCCAGATTTGGGGCCATCGAAGACCCCGGCTGTCTGGACTGTGGAGAGCCAGACACCGTAAACCATATATTCAACTGCCAACGAGGCGCCCACATACGACACGAACTGACCGGACGAGATGACGACATGGAAAGCCTATTCAACAACCCCGGATACGTGTTCACATACCTCAGAAGGATGGGACGTGCCCATATCAGTGCGGAGCACTGACCAGGGCCTCCTGAAGCAAGAAGAAGCAGAAGTTACGAAGGTTTAATAATAAAGCAGCATCAAATTCAATTACAGGTGTGTCAGAAAAGTTGTTTACGGGAAAAAAGCTTGTTCCCGATTACAAGACACTTGCTCTCGCAAGTGTAATAAGATTAATTTCGTCTTTTTGGCAATGGGTTTTGATAGATTGCCATATCATGTGATTTTTTTTGGTAATTTTTACTTTTTATTTTTTTCCCTTTTTTCTGTAGAAGTATAAATAGGTGCACCATTTGTTTTATTTGAATAATCTCATCGAAAAAACTTAATGTTAACAAGGATAGCCGGATGCTGTGCAAGTAGCACTGAAAACTCCGGATATTTTCTTAAGAAAATATTATTGATTTTTGAAAATCAGTTTCGTTTGATTTTGTGCGTGTTACGATGAAAAGATCTGAACAAAAGTTTTTAGGCATTTCCAATGTTCGACAAAAATTTTCTTCGAAAAATGACTAGTAGAAAATATTTTTTTGCAAATATTTTTCAACTTTTTGATGTTTCTTTATTCCCAACATGTAGCTAATAAATACTTCGAAAATTAATTTTAGTAAATTTTTCATGACTCGAATCAAAAATCAAGATTTTTTTCACAATTACTACTGCGAATCTCCTAAAAATAAGCCTGCTTGCTGGCTGGAATTCGGCCCAAAAATTTCGAACCAGTTTTTCTCGACACGGTGACAATGTTTTGAAATTTTTTTAGCGTCGCTCGAATTCCCACTGAAAGGCTTTTATATGATACATCACTCGACCGAGTCCGATAATTATTTATTGAACCTGATTTTTCGTGGAAAGCAAAAAGAAAAAAAATTAAACACACCTGAGTACAAACTTCCTCCCCCTTTTCAATGGGCGGAACAATTCAATTAAATAGGTTACATAATTCAACTGTCGGTAATTATGTCTGCAACAAAGTGTCCCGAACCAGAGATATCTTATTGATTTTCTTCGACAATTGATAATTTTCCTGCCCAACTTAATGCGTTGTTTTTACTGCCCAATTTTTGAGCGTTGTATTTGGTACTGTCCAATTTTTGAGCGTTGTTTTACCTCGTTGTATTTAACAATTTATTGATTAGAAGTCATCTAATGGGTAATTTTTTGGTTTATCACTTCTAGTTTATCACAAGCTATGACACATTGCACTGCATCTTTATTGTTAATTGTTATTGAGCAGAAATATTGTTTTAATTTAAGAAATGAAGGACTTGTTTGATGCATCAAAATCAGAGCTATCACTGATCATGTAATCAATTTAACTCATTGAATGAGTTGGAATGGTTTAATTTCAACCTCCATGTCCTGCGAAACAAAAAGTGTTTCAAATAACCCTTTCAATTTTAATTAAAAAATTTAAATACTAATCACTTAAAAGAATTAGTCGTTTATTAAAAGTTTGAGCACAATCAAACTTCTAACAAATTTTTCAGGACAATTATCGTTAACTTGTTCGTAAGCCAAATTGATTAAGGTAGAAATTTGTTTGTTTCAACCTATACGTTTTCATAATTATCACTCATGTTATCTAGCGCAGGTTTCAATTTTGGATTTAGTTTTCTGTATATCAAAAACATCACGCATCCTCCTTCATACTGCTTAAATTTAAAAAAAGAGAGCGTTTTGTTCAATTTTTACACATCTAGTATGTGAAAAAATGTTGTTCGACAACTAGCATGTGTTTAATACTAGATAAGTAACAGCTTACATAGCAACTCGAAATTTGTTCACATCTCGACCTAGCGTGTCTCGATTTACTCACACAACTTCTAGATGCAATATATAGCTGGTGCTTATCTACAGCACAATGATTCATTTTTGTTATTTTTTTCTTAATAACACTTAAGTAAACAAGGATAGCCGGTTACTGTGCAAGTAGCACAGAATGTTCCGACCAGTCTTAAAAAATACAAATAAAAAATTCGAAGTAGTGTCGTTTTTTCTACGTGGTGTGATAAAAAGATCTGAGCGAATATATAAAACTTAAGCATATTCGACAGTCAAAATAAAAAAGGCCAAGTGGAAAACACATTTTGTAGAAAAATGACTAAAAAACGAAAAAGATAGTTGAAAAATTCAAAAAAAATTCCTAAATTGACGCAAGCAAACTCCAAAAAAACTTAAATTAAATAAAATTAAGCTTTCATGGCTTAAATTAAGCATAAGCTTTTGTAAGCTCACCGCTCACCTTATTAGCTTGAAATTTGACAAAAATTCAAAAATTTCAAACTCGTTTTTCTCGACACAGGGTATTTTTTCGAAATATTTAAATGTCGTTCGAATCCCGACTAGAACGGCTTTTACCTGATATGTCACTCGACCCATTCCGATGAATCATTGCGGTACCTAATTTTGCGTTGAAAAAAATAGAAAAAAACAAAAACACACCCGAATACAAAGATCCTCGAAATGATCGGAACAATAATACTTTGATTGAAGTTTTTTTAATGATGGTAAAGTAATAAGCAAGTAGCAGCGCAACTGAGGCTGACCTTGACGAATATCGTGTTGCACTCGTGTTTGGTTCCGAAGAAGCAGACAGGAATGAGGGTGGACCAGAAGTAGGGGATGGGCAAGATGCGACAGAGGAAGAACACCAGCAACATCACCATACACACCGCCGTGTAACGTCTGCGTTCCTTTGAATAATCAGAGTGAAATGAAATTTATACACGATAGAACACTTGCTAGTCGCAACGGTTTTAGGATGAAATCTAAAACGCTTTAAAAATAGAAATCTCAGAACTGAATGGTCTACTAAACTATGAACTTATATTTTGAGACTTTTTCAACAGAGTAGTTTGTTTAATTTTCTTCAACTGACTCACTTTGCCTATACCGCATGTCAGCATGAACCATCTCAGATTCACGATAGGGGTTGAAAACTCGTGTAGCAGTTGGAGGCAGCCCCAGAAAGGAATGTAGCAATTCACTGCAACGTAAAACGTTCCAATGGCCGAAATTACATGGTGTATCAACTCGACCTTCTTGCCAAATAGATAGTCGTAGCGAAGCAGAACGTAGATATCGCTCAGAAAGTATCCACATGAAAAAGCCATTGTGAGTTGGTATGGCTTGGGCCCTGGATCTTGCCTTGAAACAATAACTTCAATTTAAGCTCCCATATAACCAATCCCAGATAACTTCTTAATTTCATATTCAAAGCTCTGTTCATAGACACCTATGATATTTCCCGCAATGAAAAGATGTAGCCAGCTAAAAGTTGGGCTCACGCGAAGCTGCGCTTTGCACCACTTGCGATACAAAATCAGAAAGCCGCTAAGTCTAAAAAAACAACAAGACTAAAGACTTTTAAAAAATTAAGTCCTCAAAACACCCACACAAGCGTTTTCACTCGTCGAAAGATGCAATATGAGTCCATTAAGCCGATATAATTATTATAAACATTTTAGCAATTTGTGAAAACCAGTGAGCATAAAAGTCATTTTTAACTTGAAACTACTCAAAACTAGGTCACTAAGCCGCTAAAATACAAGCCATAATCATTTGGGCATAATGAAGTTTTTAAGCGAAAAAAAAAAACAAAAAGAAACATATACGAAGTCAAGAAATTGCAAACAGCAGAACTAAATCAAAACACTAAAAGCAACTATAAAAAGCGTTCAGTAAAAAAAAAACAATTTTACGATGTGGCAACTAAGCTGACAAAACAGAGGCAGAAAAATAATAAGCCGACGATTTTTTTTGAAACAGAACATTTCCCAATTAAAAAAAGGTCCTGTCAGTTTCGAACCCAAGGCCATTGCCGTCCCTGACGTCTTCGTTGCCTCCAAGCAAAGTGTGCCGGAGACGCAATGATATTTGAATTCAATATGAACTGAACGTGAATTTACCATTTCTAATTTGACCATTCTGTGAACTAAGTTATTTACGTTAAAAAAGTCTAGTATCCGATTGCAATACCCTTGCTTATCGCAAGGGTAAAACGAAGAAGGAACCCAAAGAAGCAGAAAAAAAAGACCGAATTCTAAGAGAAAAAACAGCTAATATTTCTTGGCTAATAGCTATACATTAAATTCCGCTTTCGAAACTAGAAACCGTTCACTTTTTTGCGCCATTTCCATGTTTGCATTTGGAGAGTGCTATTTACATAACTTTCAGCAGATGAATTTCAATTGAGCTCAAAAAGTGCATGTATAACTATGTGCATTCATGAATGCATTAAGGCATGAATCCACATTTGTAGTTATTAGAGCATTTTCCTGATAACAAAACAAACCGAAGAGATCACCAAGACCTATATAAGTCTTCAATACGTTCACTACTCATAAAAAACTATACCAATTAAGGAAAGCCTGATTAGATTGTTTAAATCCAGCAAATAGATAACCGTATGAATTGACTTTATAATTTGAAATATCTTGATGCAATCATACAACAATAGTATGGCCCTATTCAGCTAACATGAGCAGTAACAAAGCTTGAGCACGCTTGTTTGGAAAATTATCATTTTAAAACAAACCTAGCACTTCCTTCTCCTCTTCTGATATCCGGGTAATAGTAGAGAATCCATACCGCTAATAGGGATACTATAATAGAATGTAAGGTTGAAACTACATATGTATTCCACACCAACCGCGTTGATGCGTCAAAATCCAAATATTTTTTGTAGAAAAAAACTGAAATTTTGGGGCCGCCAACTCGTGTCAGAAATCTCCACAAAATAGTGAATAACAGAACCTCGACTGCAGCTGATCGATAATTATATTGCGGGCTATCTTTGTTATAATCAGACATATCTAAAATAAAATCTTCTCCATAAACGAGTTAGCAACACAGTCGCAAAATAAAAACCCAAAAACGCCGTAGAAAGCGAATATTTATCAATTGTAAATAACTTCAAACTGATTTGTAACACTTTTATAACATAAAATAATGCAAAAATTATTTACTTGACCAACATATTGTCCAGGGAAAAACAACCTTGGAATTTCAAAGACCAGGGAACTATTACAAATCATGATACAACGAGGTTAGATGATATAATGCACAAGATACTTCAACGAGATTTAAAAAATTTCTTCGAAGCTGGTTTTATCATTAATAGCTCCGAGTAACCAAGCAGCATTTGTGGGCTGTATTGCAAGGATATTATGTTTGAGAACACTGTTTATCTTGCTTTCATTAATCTTAACCTGATTTCATAATATAAAGGTCGATATTTTTGAAAACCTTTAAATTAGCGTGCGCAGTTTTGTCAAAAAAAAAACATACGGAATTTTTCAGATAATAAACCAAAAAAAATTGAAAGGATAGTTTACTGAAGGTTATCACTTATGGCAAGTAAGATGGCCCGGCCCCACTTTAGATTTAAAAACCAAACAAAAAAACGAAATGTACAAATTCAGATATCCATATAAATTGCGAAAAAATCAGAAACCAAAGTAAACAAACTAAAAAGGAAGATATTGAAAGACAATTGATGTCAACGATCCCAGTACCGGACCAGCAGCCGAATAAGGATTCTATTTGTAAAACTACGCAACGTTGCTCACAGAGGCAGGCCGCGGCTAACTGTGGCTCACTTCAAACATTATTACAAAAAGCTTGCCTTCTAACAAAATAACGTTGGTTGACCCAATGTACGAAGCACCACATTAAATTGCCTTTGGTAGGGATGATTAAACACAGAGGCAAAGCTGAGCTTTGCTCTAGTAGTAGTAGTAGTAGTAGTAGTGTAGGCTTTAGGATTTCTCCATGGGTTTTGAACCCTCGTTTATAAGTTCATAATTTTTCCCGGTGGGTTGCAGTTTCCACACCAGCAAAGAATTCTCCACATACACAAGTTGTTTTCTGCAAAATTTCTGTTGAAGAATTTCCAAAACGTGTTTGTTATAGATATTTTCAGGCTGTCATAATCTTGATTTTCGAAGTCCACAATTTGGCTAAAGTAGTTGTATAGCGTATTAGAACGTATATAATAATTTTCATTTGACTTTTTCAGTCTTGTTGCATGAACAGCAATCTCACCACGTGTTGCTTGTCTCGTTCGTGATTCGTTTTTATGAATAATTGTATTCAAATCAATGTCATGTTTATTTTTTAGTAGTGAAACTAAGTACAATATGTCGTGTAATTCAAAGTACATTGAGAGTGGAAGGAGCTTTAAAAATTTCAGTCTTTCAGTATAACTCATTTTGAAGTTATTTGTAATCCAAGATGTCGCTCGTTTTTGTACTCTTTCTAGTTGTCTTAATTCTGCTTTGTTCGGATACCATGTTTGCGATGCATAGCTTATGATTGGTACGATGTATCCGCAGTATAAATTTAATTTTGACTTTAATGATGTTTTTTTCGAGATACTTCGTTTGATTTTGTAAAAAGCTCCCATTGCTTTTGATATGCGATTTTCAGCATTTACTGACCACGAAAGGTTGTCACACATTAAAATACCTAAGTATTTTTGGGTCTTTGCGGTATCAACATTTGTATTAAATAGTGTAACTTCCATTTTCCCTTTGAGGTTTAACAAATTACATTTATCTTCATTCAGCGGCATTTTATTTTCTTTGCACCATTTTTCAACATTTGCCGTGTCTTTTTGCAGATGAATTTCTTCAGTAGACAAGATCTTCATATCGTCACAATAGCCAAAACAATCTGAATTCTCAATGCATTTGGGAAAGTCGTTAATGAATATGATAAAAAGTAGAGGGCCAAGAATTGAGCCCTGTGGTACACCGCTAGTTACTTCTTTCAGAGTTGATGAACTTTTATTGATTTTCACAAACTGCATTCTATCTGTTAGATAGTCTTGTATTATGTCTTGTATTTGAATGCTTAGACCTATGTTCCGTAGTTTGGCGACTAGGATTCTATGAGGAACTTTATCAAAGGCTTTAGAAAAATCTAGATAAAGGACTGATAGTGTTTGAACATTTTTGTCATCGTAGAGTTCATATACTTTGCTCAAAAATTGTACCATTTGTAGTACTGCTGACCTTTTTTGCCGGAAGCCGTATTGTGCGTTTTCCAGGAAAGGTTGAGCTTTGGGGTATATATTATCAAAGATAATTTTTTCGAAGACCTTCGAGGCGGAGCATAAGAGGCTAATTGGGCGGTAGCACTCGACTGACGCCTTGTTCTTTTCTTTAAAAATTGGGGCCACTTGACTTGTTTTCCAGTAGGTCGGGAAGAGCCGCTTGTTAATGAATGTGCGGAAGAGAAGATAGAGCGATTTTGACAGAGTTTCAGAAAGATTTTTTAGGATTATATTACCTATACCATCAAAACCTGACGCTTTATTTGTTAAAAGATTTTTGAGAATGTATTGGATTTTGGTTTCTTCAATGTGTATTTGTGTACAGATTTCTTCTGTAGGGAACAGTTTGTATTTCGTGCGAGAGGGTTAGGAATTGATTCCTTTTGATATACACTGATGAAAAATTCGTTAAAAAATGTAGCTTTTTGGGTGTCATCTCTTGTGGATTTTTCCTTGTAGAACATTTTTTGGGGATATTTCCTGGAACTACTTATTTTGTTCAAGTATTTTTGCAGGTCACTGAATCGTCTACTGCTTGTTACTGTTTCTTCGTAAATTGCTTGATCTTCAGTCAATGCTATTTGAAGATTTTTTTCCAGTTTTTTGTGTTTTAGGATAATGCTTAAATTAGGTTTGTTTTGCCGATCGATACGCCGTTTTAAGGTTTGTACTCTTTTAGCATGTGAGACGTACTTGGCTTCATCCATGGGGGGAGAGTTGATCTGTGTGATGTAACCTTGGGTACATTGTTCTTTATTTTGTCCCATAACCATGCATACCACTGACGAAGGAGCTCATTTACATTACTGTAACAATACGGTATGAAAGGTTTGTCTTTTATTTCTTGATTTATTATCTTTCAATCGGCTCTGTTAAACGCCAGACTTTCATTTTTGTTTATTTCTTTGATACTGGCTTCCATGTTAATTGTTGCAGAGTAAGCATAATGATCTGAGCAAGAAACTTTGTCGATGCTGTATGCGTTTGTTGCTGAATGGTCCGTGTGCCAGTTGAGTATTACTCCAGGGTTGTTTGTTAATAAAACATCAAGCTGCTTTTTTTTGGAGTCGAATAATTGTTCATAGTCAAGTTCAATGAGCTTTTTTAACACTGCATTTTCATATTTGTCCTTTGAGTGCATCATTTTCCAATGAGTGTATTCAAAATTTATATCTCCCGTAATCGACACTGCGTTACAGTTGTGTTGTATTTGTAATTTTGTTAGGTTTTCGAACAAACTGATGAAGTTTTGTTGTTTCCATTGGTATTTACTGTTTTTCGGGGGATTATAAACACAGCAGAGTATTTGATGATGCCCAGTTTCACCTGTTAGTTTGGCCACTATGCATTCTTCATTTTCTATTTGAGTATCAATTTCTTCGTAATGCACATTTTCTTTTATCGCCATGAGTACGCCTCCGTGATTGGTTTTTAAAGTGGAGTTTTTTCTATCTTTGCGAATTATATTAAAACCAGCCAAATGCAGAGCTTTATCTGGTATTTCCTTTACCAGCCATGTCTCTGTGAGACATAGTATATCGTAGTCTGTTTGTAAAATGGCATTTGAAAGAGCTATTCTTCTGTTGATGTCTAAAATACTTCTGACATTTAGGCATAACATTTTTAAATACTTGGCAGTAGGTAGTCAATTGCTTTCTTCGACTTTTTTCCAATTTCCACTTTCTTCGTCATATTGGTAAAGGACAAGGTCCCTTAGCCTTAGGTTTTTAGCTGATACTCCAGTTTCTATCTTTGTTCGTCTTTTCATAAGAAGTTTGTTCTCAATCAGAAATTCACTTGGGCTGAGCTCTTTTGACACAAAGACAGTTTTGTCGTAGTTTTTCAATTTTGCCAAGGACATTAGTATCAGTCGTTTTTGCCATTCATTTGAAACATTTACAACTATTGTGCGTGGCCTTTTTCCTTCTTCGTATTTTCCTAAACGTTTTAAATCTGTGATTTTTGCTTCAACTGTTAAGAACGCAAACAGTTTGTTCACCTCTTCCAAGTCGTGTTCGTGTCTATCTCTTGAACTTTTTGAGCCCAGTTCAAGCAGTCCTCTTATCCGGATTCCGTTATAGCTTGATTCTGGTTTGTTTAAGGCAGGTTGCTTTGGCTCATTTCTCTTTTGTGGTTTTTTGCTTGTTTCATCTATCTTTTGCTTAAGTGAATCTATCTCTTGTTTAAAAGTAGAGAATTGTTCGGCGATTTCATTTAGTTTTGTTTCAGCAATGGATGGACGGGTTTGCATCAAATCGTTGATCATCGACTCTTTCCTATTGTTTCCAACACAACAGTTACAGAGCAGGAGGACGTTCTGGCTGATCTCCGAAATTCCAAGGATGGCAGTTTCAGATATTCCAGTGCATGTTTTTGTCATGTGCATAACATCGCCACAGGCAATGCAATTAAAGATTTGACTTTTGTTTGTGATCGGCTTTTTGCATGTTTTACAAGATTTCTCAGATGCTTGCGAGACGCTAGCATTTCTGCGTCTTTCTTCTGAGCCCATATTGCTCAAAAAAATCTTCTCAGAACTGACACTCCAAGGTATAAAACCTCAGGAGAAAACCAGACTAGAGAAGACTTATTGAGTTTTTTGATTCCCTTGGACTGATACTCCAAGGTATAAAAACCTCAGGAGAGAATAGTCTCAAGAAAATCAGACTCACCAGAACTAGTGCGATGAGGATTGGGCTGCTTGTTTTTTCTTTGCTGCTGCTCTCTTTGATTTGGTGGGCCGTACTCTGGATTTTGATC